GCGTTCACCTCTCACAGAGGTTTGTACGAGTTTACCCGCATGCCGTTTGGCTGTTCTGGAGCTGCAGCTACGGTCCAGAGATTGATAGACCGCGTTCAAGGGGATGCTAAATGGCAACATGCCATGGCGTACCTCAACGACATCGTCATCTTCTCTCGAACATTCGAGGAACACCTTCCCCACTTGGAGGATGTCCTCGAGAGGTTGCGTGCCGCCGGGTTGACTTTGAACCCGAAGAAAGCTCAAATAGCTGAGACTCGCATCTCACTATTAGGCTTTACCATTCAGAGCGGTCGTGTTCTGCCGTGCGAGGAGAAGGTACGTGCCATTGTGGAGTACCCGACGCCGGCAAACATTCAGGGCCTGAGGCCCTTTTTGGGCATGGAGAACTGCTATCGACAGTTCATCCCAAACTGTGCGGTCCTCCAAGCGCCCTTGACTGCACTCTTGAAAAAGTCGGCACGATGGAGCTGGAGGCCAGAACAAGAGCGAGCCTTCAAGGCGCTTTCTGAAGCTCTAGTGGCCACAGCGGCATTGAAGCTGCCCGACCTGAACAGGGAGTTCGTTGTCCAAGTGGACGCAAGCGACCTGGGTCTCGGCACGGTAATGCTTCAGGAGCACGACGACCTCCTCCAGCCAGTCGCCTTTGCGAGCCGGTCACTTAACGCCGCCGAGCGTAACTATAGCGTCACAGAAAGAGAATGTCTCGCTATAGTTTTTGCTCTCCTGAAGTTCGACTGCTATGTCGACGGCGTGCCATTCATGGTGGAAACGGACCACATGGCACTCACCTGGCTTAAGCGCTTGCGCGAGCCCTCGGGCCACCTCGCGCGCTGGGCGTTGATCTTGCAGCGGTACAACTTTGTTGTGCGCTACCAAAAAGGGAGCTCGAACGTCGTGGCTGACGCCTTGTCGCGTGCCCCCATTTCGGCGTCCGACACTCGTGTCCGCCACTCCCGAGAGCAATCGCATCAAGTAGACCCCGGGCCCTCTGGCTTCAAAGGGTCGAAAGACGCGAACCCCGATGCTGAAGTGACTTTCGAGTCTACAGCCTCGGGTGAGGACGCATACCTGGTAGACCCTGTCACGTCCACCGGTATCGTCTTTAGCAGAGAGGAGCTGCTCAAGGCACAGCAGGACGATCCGTTTTGTCAACACATCATTGATGAGCTCAAAGAGCTGAGCTCCCAAGCGGAGCGAGGCGGTCAAGCCGCCGGGCGCGAACAGACAGCTGGTATTGCTGTCGGCGCCGAGTGCCGTACGCAGGCTGGTATTGCTGCGGGCACGTTGGACTCGTACCTGCTTGATGCCGACGACGTTCTCCACGCTACGTCCCATCTGAAGAAGCTCCTCAGGAGTCTTTCAAGGTGGTGATACCCCGGAGTCTAAGGAAAGCCACCCTAGGTTATTTTCACGACTCGCGGTTGGCCGGACACGCGAGTGGCCTTAAGACTTTTCAAAAGTTGTGCCGCTCCGCTACTTGGCCTGGCATGAAGCGCGACGCCCTTCACTACGCCTGCTCATGCCGCGTGTGCCAATGCGTGAAGCCTCGCGGGGGCAAGCCTCCTGGGCTTATGCAGCCGATAGACAGTCAACAACCTTGGCAAGTCGCGGCCTGTGACATACTGGGACCTTTCCCAAGAAGCCAGAGAGGCCATATTTTTCTCCTGGCTGTCACAGATCACTTCACGAAGTGGGTCGAACTGTTTCCCCTTCAGAAGTTAACGGCACGCGTATTCTGGGACAAGTTGACCGAGGTCTTTACCCGCTTTGGCTTTCCGGCGGAGTTGATCACGGACAATGCGTCCTATTTCACGGCCAAGGTGTTTGTGAATGCGTGTGCTGCCTTTGGCATTAAGCACCATAAAACAACCACGTATCACCCACAGGCCAACCCGACCGAGCTGATCAACCGGAACCTCAAGCCCTTGCTGACAGCCTTTGCACAGTAACACAGGGATTTGGATGCCTGTCTTAACGAGATCGACTTCTCCTTGCGGTCTACAGTCAATCGCTCGACAGGGCACACGCCCGCCTTCCTCAACTTTGGAAGAGAGCTGCCTAACCCCATGGACAGCGTCTTATGGTGCGGCGGCGGGGCAAGCGCCGCGAAGGTCAGCCCGTCTGGCTACGCGGCGAAACTGCGCTCACGGATGGACGCGGCCCTCGAACTGGCGCGTTCCAACCTGGCAAAAGCGCGAGCTGATCAGAAGGCTCAATCCGACCGGTCGCATCGGGATGTCCGTTACGATGTTGGTGATCTCGTCCTCAGGCGCAATCCCGTCTTGAGTGACACCGCAAAAGGCATCTCGGCCTCCCTTTCGGCCAAGTGGTTGGGCCCATACAGAGTGCACACCAAAGTGTCGCCCCTGGTATACAAGCTGACTGACTCTCAAGAGAGACCAGTTGGCGGTCCAGTTAACGTCTCCGACCTCAAACCTTTCGTTGCCCACATAAACGACTTCGGGGAGGGGGAGGCGGTCACCGAACCGCAGGGAAACCGGGATAAGGCTGGTTCCAAACCACGCCACCGGTACAACCTGCGAAAACGCCCCCGGCATGTAGCGGGATGTTATCCCTTCCATGTAAGGGAGCGGAGATTTATAGCTGCTGTGCGAGAGCCCATCCAGCAGCAACAGTAACTGGCGAGCTTTCTCCCTGGAAACACCATTACACGCGTGCGCGCGGAATATCCACCCAGTTCCCAGCACTCCCGGATGCTCGAGAGTGAAAAGCCCTTTCCCCGGTGGCCCACTCTCTCACTGGGTATCTTCCGCGTAGTCGGCGGCAGAAGGAAAGCGTGCACCCTATTGGCTCACGCAACCTTCAATCCGACGAAGTAGGCTCTCTTTATTGGGCCAGCCTGTCGCGCCTCCGGGGCCGCACCTTCAGTTGCGTTTCGGCTTTTCACCGATACCGACACCCCAGCATTCGTTATGTCCTCCTCGATGGCCCGTTCCTCCAAGAAAAAGCTTGGGAGACCAGCCGCGCGCTCGGTCTTTTCGCAGGCACCGGCCACGTCCATGCCGCCTCCCTCGAATGCTCCCCCGGCCCCGGCTAACAAGACACCGCCTCGTCGTGAAGTCGCTACGTGGACGTTCCAACATGCCACTGAGGCCCCGGTCACCTTCATGTCCACTCGTCGCTGGTCCAAGCAACGCAAAGTATGGGTGGAGTTAGACCCCGAGTCCGTACCACGTCCTTTCTGCAGACGCACCCTTTCGGACCTGCTCGACGCTTCCGGAGGTGCCTCAATGCCGCCTGTTCCCAAAGCCTCCTACTGCGATGCTTGTGGTGTCCTGCTGGTGCACGAGGCTACCCACCTCCGTTCGCGGGTTCACCGAGCGAAGTCCGGCGGTGACCCTGCGGTCATGTCCACTCCGGCGGTGCCGCCTGGCCCGGGCCTTCAACCTGCCTTGTCGACCGACTCCGTTCAGGCGGTCGTGGCGGCGCTCATCACGGACTCTTCATTCAACTCGGCCATCGCTGCTGCGGTGTCCGCCGCCCTCCCGCGGCCCCAGGCTCCTGCTGAGACGCCGCCTAAGGAAGACACCGGGGCGCCCGACGATCTCGTGAACGACACGGACCTGGACTTCAGTTTTTTCGGTGTCGGTGGACGCTTTTATTACGGCGTCTTTAGGGGGGCCTCGGTCTTAGGAAGGGGGGATGTGGGAATCGAGAGCGCCCTCCTACCTGGCGCCTCGTTCCCCAGCTGCCGCACACGCGCCGACAGCGTAGCCCGGGTGCGCATAAGCACCGGCATCCGCCAAGATGGCTGCCAGGGCGCCTCTTGGTCTGGGCCAGTCAACCGTCGGCTTCTTCCCGTGCTGGCATGTCCGGGCACGCTACGCTGGTGCCCTGCGCGGGCCTACGTCACAACGCAGCGCCATTTCCCATTGGTCGCGCGTGACATCCTCCTCTCCTACGAGCTGTGTTGCGCCCGACCATTCGCTCGTCGCGGCAGATGCTCTCAGGCTTCCACGAGAGGTTGACGCGCTGCTTAGCAGGCGGCTTCTCGTTCGTGCATTCCACTTCGAACCTTGTGCAGGAGTCGTCGCGCCCTAGGCTAGCGTACCTGTTCGGTCTTGCGGAGTACCCTATACAGCCTGCAAGCCCGTGAGTGTCGCATTTTGCTGCATCTTGGGTTAATAAACCCGTTGTTATTCTGCCTCGTGCGTGGTTTCTGCGCCCTGCCGGAGAAATCGACGAACCCGGCCGCAGCGTCTTCGCACGCAGTGGCAGTGGAGGACGTCGCATCCCTACACGGTTGCGCTTAGTAGGTAAGCCTAGTGCAAACCTATTTCCACAAAGTTCAGACAAGGAACGTTTGCAAAACGTGCAATGAAAAGATTGAGGTGCCAGTGGGAAGGCTAGTAACGCTGTTTAGCACTTGACACAAAGGCAACACGCACTAAACGAACTAAATCACAAAAAAGTATCTGTGTAGAAATAGGTGCATGCCAACCTTGTGTTTTCTTCTTGATGTTTAGTGGACCAGTAGAGTTTGGGTAAACTGTGAGATGATCAATAAGGCATGCTCATGTTCATACATGAGGTTGAATTTCGTTACAGATGTGGAAAGGAAGCATATCTGTAAAAGTAATTTCTCAATATACACTGGAGTTTGCTGCCCATGCCTTTGTTTTTGTGGGCCAGTGGAAAGTGGTGAGGTCAATGGCACATCAAGGCTTTTTGCACACACGAGATGGACAGGTCTACAAGCCATACTCAGCTTCATTGTTGACAGAAGTTAGTGAAAAAAAAGCTGCATGGGACATGAGAAAGGAGACATGGATTTGTCTCAAGCTAAGTGTAGCTGCTCAAGTGAGTATAAGACATGAAGAACAAGTCACTCCGTGTTCTTCGTGCCATTTGTTCAGTTGTTGAGTCAAAGTTGAAGCTTTGCATTTCTTGTCTATGCCATCACAAAAAGAAAGGCTCATAAAGAACCCCGTGACCAAGACAGTGCAAAGGATGAGAGAAGTGAAAGGGAGACTGACCCAGCAAAAGGAGTGATGGTTTTGACCTCCTGAAGCTCTGAGCTGTCTTCGTTGACCACGTAGATACGCGCTGAGTCCTTGAACACCAGGCAGAAGACATCACGCTCAGGATGCCAGAGACAGCCTGCATGAATGAACACAACTATTACAACACTGATCCCGACTCAGGCTTCAAGTGCACCAATGTGAGTCACGTGTTTAACAACGGTGTGACACTGCCTAAGTAGAACGAGCTGTTGCACAGGTATTCATGAAATACTGTAGAACTGCTGTATGATTGAACACGCCAGCATTGAGACATCCCTGGTTCACGATGGCCAAATAAATAGGAAATACACTTGTGTGGGACGTGATAGAGTGTTGTCTTAAAAAAGTGCATTCACTTGATACACACTCAATGCAGCAGGCAGAAAGTGATGTTCAGAAAGTAGGTATGCATTTCCACTAAAAGTTTTTACCATATACATGGCACTGGGCAAACCTAATGTCTAGAAGCCATAGTAATGTGCAGCTGTGCAAAAGACAAGTGTTCCAAGAGCCAGTTTTTTTTTTTTATCATACTAAGGATACAATGTATTCTTATGTTGGGAATAATATAAAGGAGAGAGATTGTCGGAAGGCAGACAGGTGGTAGGCCTCAATTAGTTCACTGCCAAGCACTACATAGCTCAGAGCAGAACAAAGAGCCTTTATTTGTAAGACAAGCAAATTATTCAGAGATTGCTTGGTCCTGCTAGAAAAATTAAGTTACAGCAGTGCAGATACAATATTGCAGTTACATTAGTGCACCACAAGTTTCCAGTGCCACTCAAGTGTGAATTTTGTGAGATGACTCTGCAGCAATTTTTATGGCACAACATTCCCGTGGCAAGACAGATCGTTATAGGTGTCCGACAGCATGTACGACAAGGACACAAAGAGGATCATGACACGAGTGCTGAGCAACCACATTTTCCTTTATTGCACCAAGACAATATACAGGGACAAAAACAGCCTGCCCCTCATTGACGCCCCTGCACGGTGGAATCTAAACTAAGATGATGAAAGCATTTGTTTTAGTCGTGACCTTTCTAAGTGCCTTCTAGCTCTTTCTTCATGATATAGAAACATGAAACTTTTTGTGAGTAGCGAATGCTTCCTCAATCTTTTCTGATGGTCAGCAGCTGCCCAGTGAAGAGGCCCCTAGCAAAGGCTGTGACCGATGACAAGGGAACCTCGTACATGACACTCCACAAGGCGATGCATCTGTGTTCAGCTGCACAGGGACTCTTCGGACCCTTTCTTATTCAGCCCAACTTTCTGCATGCTGACAAGGCAACATGATCCCGTGTGCATTATGGTGTGAGACTTGTTTTGGTCCGGTAGTTTTCCTTCGCCCCGGTTGTTCCCTTCAAGCTACGCAACAGCAACAAGCCTAGTGTCATTCTCTTAAACAGTGGTATTGTCAGTTCATGATAGAGAAAATTAAGTGTTTTGGGAACCCTTCATTTCATGCCCATTCCCTGTTCCAAGATTCAGCCACTACCACTTACAGACTCTAGTGGTTGATTAATTATTACCCTTGTCCACAGCATACACATTTTACAGCGAAAGCTGTTATGAGATCACTTTTCGGGTCCCGTGCAGTTGTTGTCCGTGGCCGCCGCCGATGTCCGTAACCACATCGCAAGGGAAAAAAAAAACTTGCACCAATGACACAGTAGGGCTTGAACCCGGGTCCGCTGCGTGCTAGCGCAATATTCTACCAATGAGTTACGCCGGTGCCTATAACTTGTCAAACTTGCCTTAGGCAGGCATGACCTAGCACCAATGGCACAGTGGGGCTTAAACCCGGGTCTGCTGGGTACCAACCCAGTATTCTACCACTGATCTACACCGGTGCTTGTGACTTGTTGTCAAACTTGCCTTAGGCAAGCTCGATGTTGAGAAAGCAATCGTGTTAATACGACTTATACAGTCTTTTACACAGCAAAAGAACAACCAGGTGTCACCCAATGCGAATAGTGTAACGAGTGGGCCGTCCAATGCTCCAAACCATCACAAAACCTTGTTCTTGTTCCCCTATCAACTGTGGCGCATACCCACTTCAGCCGTAATTCTTCATCGTGATCAGCCACTGCATGGACAATTGGCCCAAAATTTCTTGCAAGTGTTTAGCAGATACCACACTTCTCAGAAGAATGACGAAAAATAGCATAGCGAATGCTGGCCTACTACCCCCAAAAATTAATTGTTAATGCCCTAGTGGGTACCAAGGAAGTGTGCTTACAGTAGTTACCCAATGAGTGTTTTAAAAAGGCTATGGAAGGCTGCTGTTGTAGCTTTCGCTGTGACTGTGCTTCACCTTCCACGCAGGCCTGTCAATTTTTAGTCCTACATTAAAAGGGTCCTGTAACACTTTTTCAAGTAGCCATAGAATGAATGCACTGGAAGAGCTTAATGTCCTCACAAATTGAACGCTGCAAAAATTTTAAAAATTCGTTCATTGCGAGTGGAGTTACAAAGATTGGTCGCATGCTGCTATTGGACTCTCTCTGCTCTGATCTCGACCAAAGCGCTTGAAGCTAAGCAGGAAGAGATGGCAGGGCCACAGAAAAAGGTTACGCGCACCTCGTGACCTTCAAAACTTTTTTCTTTTTTTCACGCCTTCACACCTTCTTCACACCTGTCCAGTGTGATCGCGTGCACACACGTGGACAAATAGCAGCCTCCCTTAGAGATCTACGTGTGATTTTTGGGCATATTCTGTAATTTTTCCAGAGAAGAGAAATGAATTTTTAGCTGACTCTGGTAATTTATTGTGAATCCCAGGCCGCGTGCTGCACTATAATATTTGGCTCACGTGTTGTCGGAAGCCTCTACTACCGATCGTCAGCGTTTTCTAACCATGCTCAAAAAGTGTTGCAGGGCCCCTTTATACTTTTTTCGATGATACTACCACCATGAGCCCTTCAAAGATATTACCACCACTTTGACGTCTGCAAATCCTGGGTTGCTGAGATATTACCTCTGAATCTCGCCAGTCTGGCACCTTAAATAAGTCCTTTAGGTATCGAAGTGGACAAATGCTACTAGGCATGCAGTGAGTGGCATTCTTCTTGCCTAGCCACTTTCCCAATTGCAGTTTTCTTTGGTTTTTTTTTTTTTTTAAAGGAGTGTCTGTAACAGTCTCGTCATTCTCCAAAGCCATATTGGTGCAGCGCCTAGAGCTACTAGAATCTTACTTTAGAGCAGCATAACAACTAGTTGGAGCAGTTATGTAACAGATTTTTTCAGCAACAAACATTTGTCTTCAAGCCAGAGCTGTTACACCACATGTTATTGGAGATCCATTTAAGCTCACACACACGCTCACTAGAAGTACTCCTCAATACAAAATTAGGCCACTGCTCTTTGCTTTTCCGCAGACATCCACAAGTCAGCTCAAGCTACCCAACACCTCCCAGGAATGCACATGGTAATTGACTCTGGCTTTCCCTGATACAGTCTATCTAAATTTTTGATATGTTATATTACCACATGCATAATGCCAGCCTTCTGAACAATGCGCATGTGCGCCCGACGAAGAGAGCGAAGATTTCTCGCTGCTCGCTCTCTGAGCTGAACTAGTCAGCTGTGCGACCGCTGCTGCAAATATGTCTTCTAAATAGTAGGCATGTGCAAATATTCGAATGAATAGTAGAGTATTCGAATTCATTTTGATTCGAATTTAGACTGAAATCTGAAATTTTCAAGAATTCGGAATGATGGAATAAATGTACAGTGAACTCCCTTTAATATGAACTCCGTTCTTGGTTCAGACGAACAACACGGTAGTGTTTGTTTGGTCTCTCATAGACTCAATGAGGAAAAAAAAATCTGCTTAAGACAAACCACGTAACAGGGCTCTTCTGTTAAGACAAACACTCTCGCAGCGACCGACAATGATGGGGATTCTGCGCAGCGAACATTATAGTCTTGAGGCGAACAAGAGAAAGAAAAATGAAAAAAAAGGAGGAAACTTCCTGGCAAAAAGCCATAAAGCATATCGAAAGCTAATTGCGATGTGGACTGAGAAAGAGAGATAAGTGGAAAAGAAAGGTGAGCACATAGAGCTGGTACCTCCCCCACCCCTAGCCTGTAGGGAGAAAAAGGGCCGGCAGCAAGGAATCCAACAGAAAGCATTCGTCCTTTTGTGTTCTCCTCGTGTTCTTCAGTTCCCCAACAGTGGAGAACAGAACAACACAACAGCTTGATTAGAGAGCAAAATACAAGGGGAAGGGGGTGAAAAAAAGCCAAATGAAAGTGTACCTGTGAACGAAGATTATCTGTACATTATAATCACATGAAATGGTAACCACACGATATGTGGGACTATCATTCTCACCAGAGGAGTCAGATGCATTAACTTCATCCTACAATGACACTGAGAACACATTCTGGTCAGTTCGCGTTGTTTTGCATAGGGCCTGTGCACGTCATATCTGTTCCCGGTGAAATGCAGCAAATTGTGATGCGGCATTTTCTCTCTGAAAGTGCGCAATCAAGGAAGGTCATTTTGCACGATAAATATAGCTGCGATGTGTCTTGTTTGTGTGCCCGAGGCTTGTGATCGTGAGTAGTGTAAATAGAGATCTTCAGCTACATGTCATTCTAGAAAAGTTACTGCGGGCAGAAAATAAGAAAATATCCGAACCTCAAAGAAAAGCCTGCCGACTTTCATAAGCAACTTGGCGTATATTGGTTTTGTCAAGGTAGCGGTATGCAATGGAGGTGTATCCAAAAGTGATAGCAAAAACAGCCTCTCAAATGATGAACCACCAGAAAAATATACTTTTAATTCTTCGAAGGAAAATTGGGCTTGTCTCTCCCTTTTTATGTTTTTCTGGTCATCAAAATAAGCTTGTGCTACATTTTTATTGTTGAAATGTGGTAGCAATTTATTCATGAGCATATGCATTATGAACTCATGAAATCGAGTATTCGCTAGATTAGTCTAAATACTACATTTGAAAGCATGGTTTCTATCAAGTTAGTCAAATGCTTTTTCTCGTTCCTTTCCTCCCCGTTGTGAAAATATTTTTCATTCAGTGTTTTCAAACAATGTATTGTCACAGGGTCGTGACGTGGCCAAAGACAGAAGAC